ATCTCCAACCGAAGGCTGGCCAGATGACTCGTTTTAGCCTTCTGGCCCTCCAAGAAATTAATATTTTAATGAATAGTGTAGGGCCATATTTCTTATCATCTCTAACCGATGACCAAAGGGTCATAGGGCTCGTTTTAGCCCTGTCACAAAAAACCATCTTTAACCGAGGGCCAAAGGGCCATAGGGCCAAACATAATTTATTATTTAAAAACTACAACTTAAATTCAAACATAATTTATGCTGTTAAATGTTTTTAAAAATGTTGTTTAAGTTTCATGTTGTTAAATATTTTATTTTTATGTTGTCTAATGTTATTTAATGTTGTTTAATATTGTTTAATGTTGTTTCATGTTACTTATGGTGTGTTTATGAAACCGGAACGGAATGGCAAGATACGGAATTGCATTCTTTTACAGGCATTCAAGCTGTTTACTAACATTTCCGGAATCAAAATAAGATGGGATCCACTTAAAATCAGGAATTGGATCCCCTGGATGGAGGTGGTATTTGGATTCCGGGGAGAAGGCTGTTCCAGGAATCCAACTTTTATACCTAAACTCCCCTCATATCTTCTACCTCCCCCTTCATATTTGTGACTATCTTTGCTGAGTTTGCTGACTCCCTTGCATGTTCACTAGCTCGATCACGGTTATGGATGATTTTGTGCCAGGATGGGCTTCAAAGAATGAGTTGGTGGAATGGGTTGTCGTTGGTGAAGAACGGATTTGAAACTTGTTCGGTGCCACATCTGCCAATTGAACGACTAACACCTGGAATTGAAGCTGCAATGGTAGTGGACCCACTGCTATGGTGGTTGTGGGTATATTCCAATGGTTGTGGCTATGGAGGCGTAAGGGGGGTGGAAGATAGAGACAGGGCAAGGAAAGGCATGGGTGGGTGGTGGGCAGTGCAGCTTGACCTTCAGGATGAAGGCGTGGGAAAGATGGAGACGTGGGGAATGTGCAACTGGACCTATTTATATATTTTTATAGATGATTTTTATTATATAAATTTAACTAAGAAATTTAATTTAATTAATTAGTATGAAAATAATTATTCATGTAAGGGCAATTTAGTAATCAACCTAGTTTTAATTCCGGTTGAAGTGAATTAGTAAACAACTTATATAGATTTAGCATCATTCATACTCCGATTCCAAACAATTTTAGTAAACAACTTCAACAGGAATCTAATTCTGATTCCACCTCATTTCAATCCCTCCTCAATCCAATTCCTCCTCAATCTAATTCCTATCAATCTGATTACGGATTAGTAAACGCACCCCTAATGTTATGTAATGTTTAATGGTTTAGGATGTTATAGGGAAAAAAATAATTTTTTTCAATTTTTAAAACAAATTTTGTAAAAAAACCAAAACAATAAAAAAAAATAATAATGGCTAGCTGACGTCAATAGCTAGCCGTTGCAATTCGAAATTCAGCCCACCCAGGGGCCGATTGGCTGGTTGGTTTGGGCCGGACGGTTGGCCCTTTGGCCCCTTTTTTGTTCAGTGGGGCCCATGAGCCTGACCCTCGGTTGGAGACCCTTTTTGGGCTATTTTCAGCCTTCTAGCTCTCTAGACTCTTCGGTTGGAGATGGCCTTAGTACTACGGTCTAGTAGTAGTAATATTCTTCTTTACCTGTAAGTAAGAGGTCTTAGGTTCGATTCTTGTCAAAGGCGAATTTAAACCACATTATTGCTTGCCCATTGTAAAGGTAAAACCCTACCCCTCTCCTTAGTGTAGATAATATCGTTTGTTCAAAAAAAAAAACCAGTGGAATATTTCAAAGCCAACATGTTGAAACTTCCATTTGATCATGTTTGACAAACCATTCAAATACTTAAATCAAACTTAATCCCCAATTAATGAAAAAGGCTAAAACCCAGTTTTGATTTTGTTATTTTAATCTACTCCAGGTCATCCTTAGCTATATTTTTTATTAGCAAAGTTCCCATTAATATCCATATGCTTATGTAAGAACCAGACTCCTAACAAGATTACTTGCTCAAAAATCGAAGAGGCACCGCTCTCCGAACTTTGAGAGATAGATTTCCTTGGATAAAGCTTGTCTGCAATCTTCACACGCAACATCAGCTTTCCAGATACCACAGACCACTTTTTCAAAGTGCTCTAACAAAGTTAAAACACGTGAATCTTGCAGCTCCCACTACATTGCTATGACCTATTGGGACAATTCCTATATATGTCGACATTCATCCTCCACAGCCAGGCAGACTTGCAAATAAAAAAAATGCTCAACTTTTCTTCACATCCGAGATGGCACTCTCAGCAGAGTCTTTCGAAATACTCAGCTTCTTTTCCCCCCTATAATACCTCTGCAAACAAGCCACACCAGAGTAAGAGTATCTCATATCATCAGGGTTAAAAGCAAGACTATCTCATATCATGTTTTTTCCCTGTCTTTTCCTTTGGCCTTGTTCTTACCTGCAAGACAAGGAGAAAGAGAGCAATCAGTCAGCACTTGGAATCAAGCTTCCAGTCAGGAACTGACTGCCTGGAACCCCTTGCCTAATTGCTTACCTGGCATTGCTCTCGCGTACTCATCTTTAACATCTTATGCTTTCAGATAAGATACCACATCTGCCTGAGGAACAGATAGGGCAAGTTAGAAGGATATAAGGAAGCATGTGGAGACAAGCATAACATAACATGTGCCAATACATCCACTACTTTGTCAACAGCAAAAGTATCTCATATCATCAGGGTCGAACGTACTCTAGATTTAATGGACTTGTTTTGACCCTCAAATTCTTGAGTTGGCCTTTTACTCTGGAGGAAACCAGAAAACCCTCCAGCCTAGTTCAAGAATAAGCTTGTGGAAAGTTACTTCTTCAAAAGCAAAAATATCTCATATCATCTCTTCTCCATTTGCTTCTCCTTATCCTTGTTGCTGTTTACGACACAAGGAGAAGGAGAACAATTAACCGGAAGCCGAAGTCGAACCTCTGATCCAGGTTGCTTGCTTGGAAGTCTGATTACTTACCTTGTCTGTTACCTTCTTCGGCAAATCTCCTAGCTCAGCGACTTGGGGGACTCCTACTATAGGGTTTGTATCGCACTTGACCAAGCCCGAAACTACAAGTAAGCTTCAAGTGAAATTGATACATTACCTTGTGCATCTTCATCGGTTAAAGATACCACCCTTGGATGGAGGAAAAGTACTTATAGAGAAGATGCCACATCTACATATGAGATAGATAAGGCAAGTGAAAATGATACCACACTTTGGTACTTAGAAATTTCATGATTACTCAATGGCTTGGATCTTGCAAGTCCCCAACCGAAGAGCTTCCTTCACTCGGGAACTTAGGGGAGCACTGTTTGTACCATACTTGACCAATCCTGAAACTACTGAGCACCAGTCAACGTTATACCGTCAAGGACCTAGAAGAGTTTCCCTCCAACCAGGAGGCCAATCACAGCGTGATACGTGTCGACATCAGAAGCCAATCATAACACGACACGTGTCAATGTCAGAATGAAACTAGAAACTCTCTTCTATAAATAGAGATCATTCTCTCACAATATTTCATAATGTCATTTGTACTAAATCATTCACTAGTACTCACTAAAGGAGAGCTTGAACCTATGTACTTGTGTAAACTCTTCACAATTAATGAGAACTCCTCTACTCCGTGGACGTAGCCAATCTAGGTGAACCACGTACATCTTGTCTTTGCTTCCCTGTCCCTATCCATTTATATATTTATCCACACTAGTGACCGAAGCAATCTAGCGAAGGTTACAAACTTAACACTTTCTGTTGTACCAAATTCTCACTGATTTTGTGCATCAACAAAGTGAATTAGTAAAAAAACAACTTATATGAATTCAGCATCATTCATACTTCGATTCCAAACAATTTTAGTAAACAACTTCAACAAGAATCTAATCTTGATTCCACCTCATTTCAAATCCTCCTTAATCTTATTCCTCTCAATCTGATTACGGATTAGTAAACGCGCCCTTAATGTTATGTAATGTTTAATGGTATAGGATGTTATAGGGAAAAAAAAAGAATTTTTTTCAAATTTTAAAACAAATTTTGTAAAAAAACGAAATAAATAAAATAACGGCTAGGTGACGTCAGTAGCTAGCCGTTGCAATTTGAAATTCAGCCCGTCCCGGGGCCAATTGGCTAGCTGGTTTGGGCTGGATGGTTGGCCCTTTGGCCCTTTTTTGTCCAGTAGGGCCCACAAGCCCTTTGGCTTGACCCTCGGTTGGAGACCCTTTTTGGGCTATTTTCAGCCCTCTGGCTCTTTGGTTGGAGATGACCTTAGTACTATGGTTTAGTAGTAGTAATATTCTTCTTTACCTGTAAGTAAGAGGTCTTAAGTTCGATTCTTGTCAAAAGCGAATTTAAACCATATTATTGCTTGCCCATTGTAAGGGTAAAACCCTACCCCTCTCCTTAATGTAGATAATATCGTTTGTTAAAAAAAAAACAGTGGAATATTTCAAAGCCAACATGTTGAATCTCCATTTGATCATGTTTGACAAACCATTCAAATACTTAAATCAAACTTAATCCCCAATTAATGACAAAGGCTAAAACCCAGTTTTGATTTTGTTATTTTAATCTACTCCAGGTCATCCTTAGCTTTATTTTTTATTAGCAAAGTTCCCATTAACATCCATATGCTTATGTAAGTTTAGCAAAGCGATTAAACAAAACCCTAATTTCAAAACTTTAGACATAAAAGTCAACGAGTCACTACTATTTTACAAAATGTTTGGCAACTTCTTAATCATATTCATTGAGAAGCTAAGATGAATTTGCCTTTTTAGGTCTGGTATATCCAAAAACTCATCTCCAACCTATGACTGTGCTATAATTCATCGAGAAGCGGTCATAATTACGAGTGCACGATCATTCATATATCTGATCTAATAATTTTCTAAATTTAATCTTGTCTAGATTAAAGTTTGACTTGTATGGAGGATTTTCGAAAGAAAACGAGTATGAAACATAAAATGGGAATGAAGAACTTAGAAGCACAAATGATTCACAAAAGATATAAATACACAAAAGAAGGAAATAGTCATTTACATGGAAAGAGGCATAATAAACACCAAAAGCACCCTTTTAACAACATACAGTAATACAAATGAAGGGTCTCAAACCCTTACCACTAGCAATTTGCTTAGTTCAATGGACAGCTATGGACTTTGATCCCAACGAAAGCAAGCAATAACGTGAACACCGTTAACCCTAGTAGTCAAACGGCCATCCTGAATACCCCATCTGATTATTGTGTTCGCGCATAGTTGATGAACTACTTTCAGTTGGGTTATGGCTAGAGCTGGAGCTGGAGCTAGAACTAGATGAGCGAAATGGCCACAAATAAGAGAGAGGATTTCGCCTTCCTTGGTTTTCTCTACCACTCTCCCTTGCACTGGTGTTACTACCAAAACTACTGCTTCTACTTCGACTACTTGTGCTATGACCGCTTCCTGCTCTTGGTGAACCTTGCGGAGGGAGTTCTTGACGGCAAACAGGGCATGAGTTGTGTTGTACTAACCATGGTACAATACAATCTGTGTGGTATAGATGGTCACAAGGCATTTGCCTTGCTTCAGATCCCAACTCGAATTTGTCCTTGCAAACAGGGCAGTGCGCATCAGAACGGAGATGCCTGTTTGTGATCTTAACAGTAGGCATTGCATCAATTGAACCTCTGGAGGCTGGGGCAGGGCCTCGCCGGTCATTAGCTGAAAGCTGCTCAAATAGTTCTTCTAAGCCAGGACCTACAAAATAATCACCCATGTTACCCCGTGTCACGCCTATTCCAGGAGACCCATTGAAAAGAGCTTCAAAAGCACCGTTCCCAGACAGTCGAAAAGGTATTTGGCCACCAAAAATCAAGAGATGAGCAAATGCCGGGTTGCGCTCAGGAACTAAATCTGATCTTGCCCTAATGCTACCATTACGCCTTCTGTCTGTCAATTGGTGCAACACTGAGAAAGCTTCCAAGAACCTCCTATCACGATCATCATCATTGTGCAGTTCAAAGAAATCCATTGGGCTGACATGAACCATATCATCAAGTTCTTGAACAAATCCTCCATCGCAGCCTGGGCAAACCGCGTCTCGCCCTCTCAGCCGAAATGGGCGCCTGCAATCGTAACACCAGTGGGTGTTTCGGCCACCTGACATCCTCTCCTCTTTTAGAAATTTATGGGTACAAACAAGTCTCGTCCCTGAACTCCTCAATATATTAAGCATCACCTGAGCATGGTGACTTAGGAGATCGCAATTCAAGGTCAAGCCACCTATTTCAAATTCAATATCATTAAGATACAGTATGGACCCAAACAAGTTCGAAATTGGCGGCTCATATAAAGTACTTGAAACTGCATTCCGTACTGCTTACACAGGAATATAAGAACTCAGATTGTATAAGATATTTATGCACAAAATAAATAAATAAATTGTTACAATTGGTTTCCAAAATCCAAATAGATAAACAAATAAACAAACTCCAATTTATTTCCTATACGATTACAACAATTACCCAATTCAGATACTCCAAACCAAAATAGAATTCGAGTCGAATTGCATCCATCTATTTCAGGTTGATCATTGCTTGAGTAATTCCATATTAAACAAATAAACAAAATATTATAACCAAGATCACATCAGCTCAACAACAGTATCACTCAGATATAATCTTTTTTGTAAAACAAAAACAAATATATTTTTATATTTAAATTTTCAATCCAATTTATTTCCTGTACAATTACAGTTACCCAATTCAAATACTCAAAATCGAATTTGGGGTCGAATCCAATCCATCCATTTCAGGATGATCATTGGTTGAATCTAAACAATCAGTAATTCCGTATTAAAAATACCATAATAGTCAGCTAAATTAAAGCCAAGATCAGACTTTAATCAGCTCAAAAATCAGTAAATTCAAATTAAAAAAATAAAATATGAATAAAAAAAACACCAGTCTTATTTTGCAGCAGGAAATTTAGAAACTTGAAACAACAAAGATAACACTAACTTCAGATTCATAAAACCATCAAAAATATTTCATACATACATATATATATATATATGTATGTATAGTGCAAAAAGGAAAACCCTAACCTTGAGAAGGCGAAGGTGAAGGTATGCTCAAATATCTGAGACTGTTTCCGTATCGATGGTGCGACGAAATGAACGCTGTGTTTTCTCTGTCCTCTCTCTCCCTGTCTAGTATCTTCCTTCAGATTGGTCTTCTGTTACATCACACCCGTTAATTTGATCCTGCGGCTGGAATTGAGTGCCTGTATTTACCACTGCAACTTGACCAAATAAAGACTTAGACAAGTCAAATCTTAAACACCCGGATTAGGTGGTCTTAGCGAGGGCCCTCGAAAACATCAGGATTGCTAAGACTTCGCTCGTCTGTTTCCACGGCTTCCCACAAGATGAAAAAGGTAGGGGATCAAATCGCCAGGCTTCAGCTCCAAGAAGAGTGGGTCAGCCGGGTCTGGGTCCTGGGAAGCCTAAAGGGGCTATGACGGTGGGTGAGCTGATGAGGATTCAAATGGGAATTTCAGAGGTCAGCTCAATTTCTTCACTTTTTTTCTCGTTTGTGTTTTTCGTTGATCTGAATTTGAAGGGTTTAATTTTGTTTTAATTTCTCTGTGATGTTTGATTTCTTAAATGTTTAGTTGCTGGGTTAGTGGATTGGATTGCCATCTTAATTTGTGTAATTTCGATTTTGCTTGATTTGAAATTTACAACTCTAATTGTGGTTGGGTTTTCGTGATATCTTCTGTTCCGTGTTTTCGTGTTCAATTTCAGTGAATTTCCTTCAAATTTGGGGGAATGTCAGCGAGGTGCTTGATGATGATGATTTCGTTATTGTTGGTGATGTGGACATTGGGGAAGGTAAGTAAAGCGAGAATGATGAACCGGGCAGTGGCGAATTGAGGAAGAAGAAGAGGAAGAAAGAAAAAGTTGCTGGCGAGTTGAAGGGTGAGAAAAGGTTGAAGAAATCAGCTAAGGCGAAAGATGATGCTGAGTTAAATGGGGAAAAGGATGTTGGTGAGAAGAAGTTGAAAAGGTCATCGAAGGCAGGAGAAGAAGATGGTGCCACTGTCAATCATAAGAAAGATGGGTTGTCCTTGAAAGAGAAGAAAAAAGATGGTACAAGGAAGAAAGCAGATGATTCGTCGGCTCGAGGAGAATAGTCTATTGGAAAGAAAGAGAAGAGAATTGACTAAATAAACATCCTGCAACGTTTCAATAAAATGTTTCAAGTTTTTTTTACAATTTTCATGGCTTTTATTCAATTTTTATCAATATCGATAATATTCTGATATTTTCATCAAAATTTTCATATTTTTAGAGGACTGATATTTTCGATATCATCGTGTTTTAAATCTTGGTCACTACCACCGCTATCAGTTCACCAAATCCCAACCTCTCCAACCGTTTTGATATCTGGGGCACCCAAAAAACCCACAACCAATCAAATCCCACTCCAAATCCATCAATGGAGTCCGTCGGCGTCCTCATGCCAGTCCCAATGTCCCCGTACTTAGAGCAAGAGCTCGAGAGGCGCTTCAACCTCCTCAAGCTCTGGACGGCCCCTGAAAAAGCGGAGTTCCTCAAGGCCCACTCCGGCGCCGTCCGAGCCGTCATCGGCAATGCTGGGAACGGAGCCGACGTCGGGCTCATCGAGGCGCTGCCGGAGCTGGAGATCATCGCCAGCTTCAGCGTCGGAATCGATAAGGTGGATTTGGAGAAGTGTAGGGAAAAGGGTATTCGGGTCACGAACACGCCGGACGTTTTGACCGACGACGTGGCGGACCTTGCGATTGGGTTGGCGTTGGGTGTGCTGCGACGGCTCTGTGAGGCTGACGGGTATGTGAGGAGTGGGGGGTGGAAGAACGGCGACTACAAGTTGACCACCAAGGTTTTGTTTTTTTGGTTTTTTACTGTTTTAGACATAATTTGAATTTGATATGTTTTTATAATTATTGCGTGTGGATTGACAACTAATTTCTTAAAATGTTTTAAGAGAATTGGAGATTGTGGTAAAGAAACCAATTGTTGAAGTAAAAAGAGAGGAATAAGAAATGTGATATGGATATTGAAAAGTTGAAAGGGTGAATTTTTATATGACTTTACTGGTAAGATTCAAGAGCATCACGACATGAGGTTGTGGATTTGATGTTCAACTTGTTGTGCAGTGGCAAGACCTAGTAGTGCCTGCATCTGCATGTGAAAATTAGTAGTCGCTCGAAGATGTCTCCGGTTGTTAGTCTTTATTGAAATCGACTTTGTAATAGTGATGCATTTAGGATGACACTGAGCCAGCTAAGGTAAAATGGGTGAGATTGTAGTCACTAGTCAGTGTACTGCAGGTCATCTGTTTTCGATTCTTGTCTGGACTGGTTCTTGTTCTTCTGCCAATGCAATGAGGCATTCTTGCTGGCGTTGTCGATTTCTTTTTCTCTGAGTCTCTGCATGCCTATCTTTTTCCTTTTCGGTTATGGAGTGTACCGTGTTTAGTTCGTTGGTTGGAAAATTCTGACTCATTGGCTGCTTTATTCTTGGTCTTTGTGTATGTTGAAGCTTTTCTGTTTGCATAACTGAGCTTCTAAGTTTCAAATTTAACAATGATAGATTTGAAAATTGGTTTGGGAAGGCATAGTCTACTGTTCTTGTTCATTTTATGCATTCCAAGCTCCGTGTTTAACATGAGAGAATGCTGATTATTAGTCTTGATTTGATTAAATTACTGAATGTGGTTCATTCTGAATTTTCAATTTAACATACTGCATTGTAAAACTGGTTTGCAATGAAATTGTAAACTGTTGATGTGCTGCATTCAGCGTTGTTGCGCATTTAATGAAAGAAAATGCTATATATTTTCAATGGTAACCGAAGACGTTTTTCAAATAATGATAGCAGGATGCCCATGATGTGTTTATAGGGTGGTTTAAGTGCACTAATTTTGTGACAGAAGTTAGATGCAGCTTTAATATGAAATGTAAGTTGATAAAAAAAAAAAACTCAGCAGTAGTTTGTGTTTTCTTCCTGAAACAGAGTCAATTGTTTAGTTAATAACTGCAAGCAAGTTACATGTCTGCCCTGAATCTGTTCTTCGTTATAATTTTAATAGTTTTTCTTTCATTTCAGTTCACTGGAAAAACTGTGGGCATCATCGGATTGGGAAGAATTGGAAAAGCAGTTGCCAAGAGAGTCGAGGCTTTTAGCTGTCCAATCGCATACTACTCCAGAACAGAAAAACCAGATTTAAAGTACAAATACTATCCAAGTGTTGTGGAGTTGGCCTCCAACTGTGATATCCTGGTTGTTGTATGCCCGTTAACTCAAGAGACCCGCCACATTATTAATCGTGAAGTCATTGATGCTTTGGGTCCAAAGGGTATTCTCATTAACATTGGGAGGGGTCCTCATGTTGATGAATCTGAGCTGGTATCTGCACTGCTAGAAGGCCGGTTAGGTGGTGCTGGGCTCGATGTTTATGAAAATGAACCAGATGTACCTGAGCAGCTGTTTCAGCTCGAGAATGTGGTACTCTTACCTCATGTAGGAAGTGACACTGTGGAAACAGACACTGCCATGGCTGACCTTGTGATTGGGAATCTTGAGGCTCATTTTTTGAACAAGCCATTGTTGACGCCGGTGGTTTAACAGTTATAGTACCTAAAGGAAAAGTTTGCTGAAATCAGCATCGTCTTGATCAGATACCATTTATCTTCTTCAATTAATAACCGTTGTTCCAAGAATCGGCGAATGAATCTTAAACGCAAACAGGCTTCTGCTTGACTAGAGATGATTTCACCCGTTTATCCAATCAGTTATATTTTTTGGATGTAGTTAGACTAAGGATTTGGGAGCAGCCTCTCCATAAATGGGGGTAAGGCTAGCCGACATTCACCTCTCACAGATCCTGCGTAAAGCGGAAGCCTTGTGCACTGGGTACGATCTTTTTAGTTAGACTAAGGATGGTTCGCTAACAAGTCTTTTTGCTTCGCTTCACAGCTGCTTGGAACCTCTCATATGCATTCAGCTGAATTTCAAAGAATCAACATTGTATTTTCCTTTTCGATTATATGCAAGTATTGTAATTACAAGGATGCACATTGAATACTAATTGTTGTTTTATTTTCTTAATGTACTCCACTTCTGCTATGGTGATCGAGCTTAACTAAATTAGTTAGGAGACCAAGGGCACGTGCCCCCTCGTAATTTGTCAGAACTACTTTTAATACATCTCTTTTTCAATCATTTTTTTCCGGAAACAAACGAGTTAAAAAAAACTAAATAATATCGGCATCTCTCCCATGCAATTCTATTACTAGATCCTCATTCAAGACCACCAAAGGAAAATTGTATATTTTTTTTAGTGAAACGACATTGTTTTTTTAGTAAATTTTGAAGTTAGTCATTTAAAAAAAATAATAATAAAAGGCCCATTTGCGATCAATGAGAACCCGTATATATATATACACATAAGTTCATGTGGTCTATAGCATCATTAAGACCCACTATAACAAATTGTCAACCGTTCATTTTCCCCGTAAGCCACCAATATTCATGTTCATTAATTTATCCTTGTAATTTCTTATAGAACTTTCCATTTTATTCGTATGAGTAAAGCTCCACTATGAGCCATATGTTGTTATTTATCAGTAGTCTTAGCTTGAGGGGTGGACTTAGCCTCACGATGGATTAGTAATAATGTGGTTCAAATTCGTCTTTGACGAGAATTGAACCTAAGACCACTCACTTACAAGTGAAGAAGAATACCACTAGATTGTAGTACTAAGTGGTATTGAGATGACTACTTTAGATTGGTTATAAGATAAAGTTTTTGGCACGAGAACCCTAATATCAGGATGAGGGCAAAAGGTGCTCTTTCATTAGGTATAGTTTGCTTACTGTTGGAAGCTATACTTTAGCGTGGCACATCATGGTTTATAGCTCTCTCCTTTTATATTTTATATTTGAGGTTTTAAGGTGCTTGTGAGCACTTTTCGGGTAAAGGGAGATGAGAGGTGGTCTTTGATAGTGTATGACACCTTTTGCATGCATTTGCTTGATCACCACGTAGTAATAGAGTAGGAGCAATATGCCCCATTATTTTACATAATTCCTCCAAAAGGGTATTTATCATTTATAGCCAAAACTTAGTACACAAATTCATTAATGTCAGTTTTTATAAAACAATTCAAATATAGCCAAAAATTCACTTGGATAGACCCAATTATTCTCAAAATTAAAACTTAATTACACCTAAAACCAAAAGCTAATTAAGCATCGTTGTTCCCCAATAACATTGCTGCCATATTGGGATCCAGAAGCAACAACATCAATTTTCTTAGACTTTGGATTTGAATCGTCATATATATGATTCTCCTCACAGAAGAAGCCAATCACCATAAAATCGATCTAAAATATTCTCATCTTCCAATGCACTTGTCTGGAGTGATTTGCTGCAAAGACCTTCGTCCACCTCCCTCTTTTTCTTTTTGCCTTTTACAGATCCATATTAAAATTGATTTACCGGTTGTGCATATTATGCTCAATTTCCCTTAATTAAATGCCTAATTTGGGCAACCCTCTACTTAAAGAGATCATATGCAGAATGCATAAGAACATGCAATCGCCGTTTCATAAAAAAATTACCTGCCGAATACTATTTAAAAAATATCCATAAGTTAATAGTTCTAGCAAAATTTTCTAAGAAATATCAATTAATTATCACACAAGAATATTCAAAAATTGTAGTTATGTGAAATTTTTATCATGATCTTCGTTGTAGGCTTGTAAATTAAGAAATGAAATTTGATAATTTGATTGACTTAATTTCCATTACAATAAATACCTCTTTATTAAATGTTTAATTTCATCAGGCTCCTCCTTCTATCTTTTTGGATTCGAATTGAGATATGAAAATAATTAAGTTCCCTGTACTGTTCACTTTAACGAAAAACCAGATTTTTACACTAAAAAGTCAATCCTGGTACTATTCACTTTACCCTTTATTTTGTCCTTATCGATAAAACTCAAAATTTTCAAGTCATTTTCATTAGTTTTCCTAATAATAAAACCCTAAAATGAAAAAGAACACAAAGAGAATCTCTTTGGCGTTTGTTTTACATTTTGAGGGTAATTTGGTATTTTGATGTGAGATTTTGGTTATAAATGATAGTGTTTATAAAAATTGACAATTTTGAATTTAAGACATAAATTTTGGCTATAAACGATAATTTCTCCAAAAGAATAGGCTGCAAGCGGTGCATGCAATATGGTTCTCCTAGGGCAGCAGAAAGTGGGGGAAAAAAGAAATAAAGAAAAAGTAGAAGAGTTACACGGTGATTTAGGAGTGATCAAGAAGCTTGATGAGTTTAGCTATTACGGTAGTGAAGTGGATCTTTGTTTAGTCTTGGAATCAAAGTAGGGGGTTTTTTGTGGAACTTATCATTATTAGGGTATGTCTTGTTTAAGCTTTGTAAAATATGTGTTAATTGATATAATCATTTATATGAAACTTTGATATGTTATTGTTATTTTTGATAATGTGCATATCGTGATAATGTTGATTATATGTAGTGATAATATTCATATGACTGTTTGGTGAGAATCAAAGAAGTTATAGCGATTTAATTTTTTTTTAGAAATCGGCGAGAATTTCTATTTTTTCGATGACTATGATGGTAGACGTCAGACGTCGTCAACGTCGGCAATCGGAGTAAGGGAGAAGACAGAAAATATTTCGTTAGATTCTTTGAATATTCCTTAACGGTGTCAAGGTATATTATGTGATATTATGTTAGTTAACGAAATATTTCGTCCAATGATAGTTAACGAAATATTTCGTATTAGGACAAAATATTCCAACCATGCCATTCTTAGCTAATTTTGATGCCCCGAATCATTTTAACGTAGTTTTATGGTTGCCCGCCATTTAAATTTGCGCGGAGATCCAACCGTCAAATTGTCACAAAATTTTAATATGTTGCTCTAGAAGCATAATAAGACCTTAGGAAGTTATGGATTGAAAATTCGATGTGCGGATCTTTCAGATTGAATGACGTGGAGTGTACACTGTACCATTGATGGTTGACTTTTGGTCAACGTGTCACGAATCCCTCTAGATTGTTGTAGTTGACTGTACAAGTGAGATTTACGTGTTCTATCGAAAGAATTCTAAAACGAGACTTGTGATTTGTTCTATGCGATGATTGTGCGTGACTGTCTCGATATTTGTGCTAGGAGTCGTTGCGTGGACTCAAAGTGAGTGACTTTAATCTATTATATATAAAGAGAATGGAAAAGGTGAATAATGATTTGTGTCACCATGCTTCAACAAAAAAATTTGGACAAAAATGCCCCCCAAAACAAAAAAAAACTTCAAAGGCAACCCAAAATAATACATCAAATAAGGTAGGGGTATTTTCGTCATTTTAACAGTATTTCTTTAATAATTTACTTTTTGGTGCTTTAAAAAAACTAATGAAAATGGCTTGAAAACTTTGAGTTTTAATGATAATGACAAAATAAAGGGTAAAGTGAATAGTAACAGGATTGACTTTTTAGTGTAAAAATGTGATTTTTCGTTAAAGTGAACAGTACCGGGTGCTTTTCGTTAAAGTTCCATTTTTTTAATTAATACCTCACAATAAGCTAGCAATAATGTGATTTAATTTCTTTATTTTTAAACATGTTCAAAACATCTTAAGAGGCGTGTAACGCCGGTTATAAAAAAAGGTTTTTCGCACTCGGATAACAATGTGATTAAATAAGTTATCAAATGACTGTTTTTTTTTATTTTTAACAAATGATATTATCTACACTAAGGGGGAGAGGGTGTGAGCTTAGTCTCACAATGAGCTAGCAATAATGTGATTCAATCAGTTAGTTATCAAATATTATTTTCTCTATTTTTAAACACGTTTAAAACATCTTAAGAGGCGTGTAATACCGGTTATAAAAAAAGTCTTTCGCATACGGATAATAATGTGATTAAATTAATTGTCAAATGATTTTTTTTTAATAAACGATATTATTTACATTAAGGGGGATGGGGTAAGCTTATCCTCACAATAGGCTAGCAATAATATGATTCAATCAATTGTTTTTTTAAATATTATTTTCTTTATTCTTAATGTAAATTTTATAGAGACCGATTTTATTATGTGAATTTGGCTGCTTTGATTGGTTTATGAGGGATTTCTTCTAGTATGATATAAAATTATTGATTTACTTCAAATATTTGACTTTCCTTTTGTCACTTTACGCATAAAATACATTTAAAACATATAAGTCGTGAGTAGCACGCCATGATTTAAAAAATGCCTTTTGCACGCGCGTGCATGAAGGCTAGTATATGTCATATGCTTGATTACCCATGAATCCAATTGTTCGTATCCTTGGTGGATATGACATGGTTTTATAAATGTGTTTTATATTAAATTGTTAACCCATTGTCATGGGGAATTGTGCATCGAACCTTGTATTATGTCTTGTTTCATTAAGCCGTTTTGAATTATGCTCATTGGATTATGCTTGGTTCCGTTAAGTGGTCTAGGACCGGGTTTCACTAGGGTTCCATTAAGTGGTTTAGTTCCTTGCTTCGTGTGGATTCCGTTGAGTGGTCCGAAATCCATCCATCTGTCTTTGTTTGGATTTCATTGAGTGGTCCGAAATCGTATACTATTTAGATTTTGTCGAGTGATAAGGAATTCCTCATACTCTGCGATTCCATTGAATGGTCCAAAATCGTATCATGTTCGGCTTCAATGAGTGGTCTGAAACCCGTTTTCAGTTGACTTCGTTGAGTGGTCCAAAATCGCATCCCCTGTCTTCATTGATTCATTGATTCCTTGGATTTGGTCTAGAAGGTGAAAGCTTAGGAGATGTAGGCTTCGGCTGAACTAAATCACTATAGCCCTAGTTTTCAGTGCATTTATCAACTAAATCACTCTAGCCCTAGATTTAAGAACCTTTGTGGTTTGATTTAGAAAGGCCGATGGATGTTTGGGTGACTCATTCGGGATTTTCAATGTGTTTATGATTTTATGAATACTGTTTATAAATTATGATCGATGGACTTGTTTTATGATTATCACATACGTCGGATTATTGTCACTTGTATGAGCTTTGCAGCTTATCCGACTTGTTGATTTGTTCGTTGCACAATTCCCACTGTGTAGGGGCGATTATGCAGGTAACAGAGTTTAGTTGATACGAGGAGTTTTGGGGTAGCAGTCATAGTTCAGAGAATGGAGTGCTTAGGATACCCTTATACATTTCCTTGTATTTCTTCTAGACTTTCTTTTGAGTGCCTATGGGCATGTAGCTTGTTGAACAATTGGTGTATTTGTGATAGAGACCCACCACCTTACTTTTATTTGTAAATTTCAGTATCATTATTCCCCTGTTTATTTCTTATTTGTATTCCTTGCACCTTCTAAAGTAGAGCGTCTTGTGTTTATCCTGGACGTTGGTCGAGATCGGGGCGTGACATTATGTCCTTATTAAGTTGTGGTTTCGCTGACCTTATACATTTTAGACCTTGTAGGTTCGGTCCATGATTAATGAAGGGTAGACAAGCTGAGACTAGGTTAGACGAGAGATTTTAAGAATTTTATTTATTTTTGTACACCTTGTAAGGATAATAGAGTTATTTGTATATGAGAAGTTCGTTTTTATTTTTATTTTTAGTTTTTAGTTAGCACATTGGGCGCGAGGTTTATTTTTCTACCAACCCTAACTCTGGGGCGTGACATGCTTCTTTATCAATCATCTTATAAATTTGAGCTCCAAACCTATATATATATATATATATATTGTGTTCTAAAAAAGGGCTTAGGCGCTATTCGTCAATCAACTGTTGCTGTTAGCCCATAAGCAATCACAAAAACAAAAACTAATTAGACGGCGACTGGACAGAGTTAGGCGGGATTAGGCGAAGCTAGGTGAGGCTAGACGGAGTTGGACGGGGTTGGGCGGGCTTATGTGGAGACCGAAATCTGCAAAAAAAAAAAAAAATTGTTGTAGCGGCAACTCGCGAAGAAGATGAAGGCTTCAATATTTCCTCAGCAACATGGTGTCGTTTTCCAGTTTGCTAACTCTTTGTTTGTTTACCTTTTTTTGGTAAACCTAATGTACCGACCAAAGGATTTTTCAGTATGATCTGTACATGGGATGATACATCACGTGTCACTAAATAAATGGTGAGATATGTGTGCTAAGAAGTTACTAACTTAAAAAATAAAATTTTCTACCATTCTTATTAAAATATATGATGCATCATTTGTCTTTCTATCATAACTAAAAATTTCTCGTACCGACCTCACTATTTCTTCTCTTCCTGCTTTAAACTTTCTGACCCCACCTGTCATTTGTCGTTTGATTGCCCATTTTCCTTTTTTTTTCCTCTTCTTAACCCATCTTTTTTTATCGTTTGTTAACTTTATTTACTCATTTACCTTTTTGAAGGATTGTTTTATTTATTCTTGTAACTTTTTATTTCCTTCTTCCTTCTTTGCTTTCGTTATGTTTATTTTAAAATTTCACATTCTTTATAAATGTTGTATTATTTAAAAAAATAATAATATAATGTATTATTTAATATTTATTTATATGATATATAATAAATTTACTTAAATCCGTTTAAAAACTTGTCTAGTCACCTAAGTGCTAAAATCCAGTTTGCCGCCGGATTAGCACCTAGTGTTTATATATATAGACACACACATATACAATTAAAAGGAACTGAAGAGATTAAGACCTAATTTGGGAGTGAGGTGCTTAAAAAAAAAGCACCCATGAAAAAAAGCTGTGAGGGTTTTAGGTGTTTGGTAAACTGAAAAAAAAGGGCTTATTTTGGAAGCTGCTGTGAGAATAAGCTGAAATCAAAGGAAAAAGCTGAAGCTGCTATTTGTAGCTTTGGAAAACTGGCTTTTTTTCAAAGCACACGGAGCTACAGTGCTTCTTTAATGAAAAGACACACTATTAGACTGTTTTTTTTTCCAAAAGCACTTTTACAAAAAAGTTTACCAAACACTCTGCTGATTTATTTCACAGCCGCTTATTCTCACAGCACAGCCGCTTATTCTCACAGCAGCTTTTTTTCAAAGCACAGCAATACCAAACCAGCCCTAAGCACACAATGCTATCGCCCAAGTAATTGACAAAATGCCTCGTCAAAAACATTGAAAAAAAAAAAATTGGCAATTGTGCGCACTATTGTTGGATGCAACGACGATTCTCTTGCATCCGTCACTACTTAGTTAGTTGTGTCATCAATGAATTAATTTTCTAACTTCGTCCCTGCTTCTCTGTACCCAAATTTGAATCTTCATTCGTCTAATTTGGAGTAGATCAACGCTCATATAAATTACTTGTTTTAAAGTTTCCATCTATTCCCCCATTTTCCATGGTAAAATGATTAAAACCTACCGATTTTAAAAATTATGCTATTCCAAACTACTTAAAATAAAAATATTTGTTACATAGTACTATGATTTAGTGGTATCTCTCATCACTTGTAAATGAGAGGTATTAAGTTCGATTCTCTCAAAAGGCAAATTTGAACCACATTATTGCTAGCCTCTTATGAGATTAAATTCATCTAATCTCTCTTAGTGTATATAATATTAATTGAAAAAAAAAAGACAAATATTTGAATTTTATGACACCTCTTTTTTTTATTACAGCCTAATTTAGTATCGAATTCGTCATCTACAAGATTCGAAACCAAAACCGCTTACTTCCAATTAAAGAATAATACTTCTACACCGGAATATTGAGTGGCTATGACACGTCTCTTAACCCTTTAATTATTATAATTTTTCTATTCAAGCACCGTTTGGGCACTCTCACATTTTGTGTTATTTATTTAACCAAACGTAGTGATTCTCTTGTCCACTTCCCCGATCACCACGGACATTACAAGGAGTAATTATCATTAATAGCCAAAATTTAACACCAAATTTCATAAATGTTATTTTTTATAAAAACTTTCAAATATAACAGAAAACTCACATGAATAGACCTAAATACCTTCAAAATCGACATCCATATATAGAAGAAATTCAAGAAAGTTGGGATGCATGATTGCAGTCATAGTGTATTCTTGACATTCCTGATGCCTGGAATGAATTGTTGTTTCTCCATTTGCTCCATTAGTATATTTGCATCTTGAACAAGCGCACCAATTCTAGTTTGTTTGTGCCATACTCAGTGCACAAATGAGTTAAAACATATGGTAATCAATTTTTTTCTGCATAATGATAACAAGATATACAGGCTGATTAATACCCAATTTTTTCCCAAAATTAAGGCTCGATGTTGCTGTTCTCTCATAGTTGAAGCAAGATTGGGATCCTGCAGTTCTGAAAGCTCCACCTATAACATATATGGAGCAGAAGTAAAGATAAGCATGAATAAATTATCCAAATTTTTTACAAGAAAATTTTGAAACAATGAATATTTATGTTCTGTAAATTAATCTACCTCACTAGCTAGAAGCAGACTAGGGCAATCATCTGCATTGGGTATGTAGAAAAACACCGTACAGCTGCCAAAAGTTATCTTCCTTATCAAATGCGTATATAAGAAGGATTGCTAACCTCATATCCCAATTTGTCTGCCATTGACTATTTTTCCTCATTGAAAAACTATGTAGTTAGAAGAGGCCACAATTCAGATTTTTTTTCATTACATTACCAACTACATCCTTATTTTATTTGATTTTAATTTTGAAGGTATTTAAGTCTATTTAAGTGGGTTTTATGTTATTTTTGAAAGATTTTAGAAAAAGTGACATTTATGACATTTCTGAAAGCTCCACCCATCGCTACCAAAAGCTTCCCATAATCCCACGACCACCACCTTCTCAAATCCCATCCTCTCCAATCCTTACGGGGACGGCACAAACCCCGAAACCAAACAAGCCCCATTCTCCAAATCCCACAACAATGGAGTCCATCGGCGTCCTCATGCCGATCCCCATGTCCTCCTACTTGGAGCAGGAGCTTGAGAAGCGCTTCAACCTCCTCAAGCCCTGGACTGTCCCCCACAAAACCCAGTTCATCAAGGACCACTCCACCTCCATCCGCGCCATCGTCGGCAACGCCTCCGCCGGAGCCGACGCCGAGCTCATCGCCGCTCTGCCGAAGCTGGAGATTATTTCCAGTTTCAGCGTCGGAATCGATAAGGTCGATTTGAAGACGTGTAAGGAAAAGGGTATTCGGGTCACCAACACGCCCGACGTTTTGACTGATGACGTGGCGGACCTTGCTATTGGGCTGACGTTGGCGGTGCTGAGACGGCTCTGTGAGAGTGAACGGTATGTGAGGAGTGGGCAGTGGAAGAAGGGCGGCTACAAGTTGACCACCAAGGTTTTTTTTTTTTCTCAACTATTTTTTTATTTAATTTTCAATTACTTGCAATAGGGTTTATTTGCTTTTCTTATTTTTATTGGTTTGAATGGGTATTGATATTTGATTGTGCTGCTCGTGATTTGAGGGTGAGTTGATGGGCTATTTTTGAAGTTATGGTAAAATTTTGGAAGTGTTAACTGTGGTATAGGGTAAGTGTAAAATTTTGTTTATCTTACACTGCGGGTCCCAAGGCCGGATAAAGGAGGAGGTGGAGGGCGTCAAGTAGTCGACAGCCGGAACTTTGTTTTTACATGGAATCCTTATGAATATGGTAACTATGGTGTTATTTGTAGAATACCCTGTTGGAGAGTATGGTAAAAAAAATTTACCAATTGTTGAAGTCAAGGGGAAAAGATTAAGGAACAACAGTTGAACTGTTGAACTGGTGGTTCCTGCTAAAGCTGCTTGTTAAGGGAAAGAGGGTGAAGTCCTGAATTTGACGTTCTTTGCTTAATTTTGTATTCGAAGACACGAACGTGTTGTGCTTGTGTAAATTTTCAGTCAGTCAAAGTACATTTCTCAGTGAAAGATGCGTTCAATTCTCTGTTGGTAGTGATGTATTTAGGATGACATCACCAAAGGGAAAGGGGAAAGAGATGGTACTCGGTGTTGGTTGTTTGTTTCTCGTTCTTGTATGAAGAGGTTCTTGTTGGTGACGCACGAGACTGTTCTTGATTGCTTGCTTCTCATTGTTGTCTGCATATACACTTTGTTTGCCTTTTTATTTGTGGAGTGTCTATCACTTTGTATATCTTTGGTTGCAACTGCTTACTTACTCGCTGCTTTGCCTGCTAGTCTTCGATGTACTGAAAATTTTCTTAGTATCTTATTGGAGTTTCTGAGTTTCCAACGGTTGAAATTTTCCTAGTAGCTTGTGCACGTCTCATAAGAGAGAATAAAAATATTTCCGTTCCAATTCTTGAACTAACATGGTACAAATTTTCTATCCATTGTGTTCCTCTGTGGTTTTGTCGTTGCTAATATCACGGACTTACTACATCTCAATGCTCTGTATTTCTTTTGCTTTTCCTTCTTTCATGTATCGTTTCAACTTTGAAGGATTTTGGCACGTTTTTGTTAGTTTATGTGCTATGTACAGCAGTAAAGCCTTGAGTTCTTGATTTTAATTTTTCATCCATATGATATATTTGTTTCCCCTCTTGTGTAATAGTTCCCTTTCATTTTCAGTTCACCGGGAAAACTGTTGGGATCATCGGTCTCGGAAGAATTGGCAAAGCAGTTGCGAAGAGATCCGAGGCTTTTAGTTGCCCAATTGCTTACTTTTCCAGGACAGAAAAGCCAGATTCGAAGTTCAAATACTACCCAACTGTCGTGGAGTTGGCCGCCAACTGCCATGTTTTAGTTGTTGCATGCCCCTTAACCGAAGAGACCCGCCACATTATCAACCGCCAAGTCATTAATGCTTTGGGACCAAGGGGTGTTCTCATCAACATTGGGAGAGGTCCTCATGTTGACGAAGCTGAGTTGGTATCTGCTCTGGTAGAAGGCCGGTTAGGTGGGGCGGGGCTTGATGTCTATGAGAAGGAACCCCACGTACCCGAGCAGCTGTTCGCTCTCGAGAATGTGGTCCTCTTGCCTCATGTCGGAAGCGGCACGGTAGAAACTCGCAATGCCATGGCTGACCTTGTGGTTGGGAATCTTGAGGCTCACTTCTTGAAGAAACCATTGTTGACACCAGTGGCCTAATAGCTTTAAGCATCTGGGCATGATGACCAGTGGATACATAGTTTCATCCGCTGCCACAGATGCCTTTGTTCAATAATTGTTTTTGTCAATCCAAAAAAGGATCGTTGTTTCTAGAATTTCGGAAATGTTCTTGTTGAAACTGTTGATTGATGATATTTTCTGGTTAATTCTTCATAAAAATCCTTGTGTTTTAATGAGTCTTATAATTTTTTTTATTTTATAAATTATATATTTACGTCAAGGGGTGAGAAATTTGGGTTGAATCATACAAATGGCTAACACTAACAATTTTGCTTTCAACTTATCATCAACTGAAGTCAATATAAACAGAAAATAATACCATTATGCAACAGTGCTAAGTGTGCTAAGTGACAAATGTCTTGTAAATAAATGAAGGGTTTTCATCACAACTAGTCCCCGAGATTGCGGAACTCCTGGATCCTCTCCACATTAAAAGCATTGCAGTAAAATCTTTGTTAACTTGAATCTCAGTGATTTTGATAAGAATGTCACAGTAAATGACTAAATATATACCAATTCCTCTCGCCTATCGATTTCCTCGGTGTTTTAGTTATAAATCACTTAAGTATAACATTCAGTATATATTTCTATAACTCACCTTTAGCGGCGTTATCTTTGGCTTTCAAATGTTTGTTGATGGTTGCGGCCACGTCCTTCAAACTCGATTTTGTAGAAAGTTTGATCTGCACAGTGAAAACAATTTCTTGCATAAGTTGGCTATAGAGCACTCATATGAATCATAACAGAAAAACTGGGATTTGTTGTAATCACTAATTACCGGGTTGGCTTTATCGATGGCTGTGTATAACAAGAGCGTTGGGTAGTCGCTTGCCTGAATAACAGTAACCAAACAAATAAATAACAAACAACAATAACCGAGATAGATTTCAGAATCATCACTCTGGCATCTCATCAACTGAAACTTTCATGGCCAGGGACAGTTCTCATTGACAGATAATGTTTCTGAGTTGTAAAATTCGTTGTGATTCACACCCGACACCCTCTTCTTTTATTTATAATGTATCGTGCAATTTTCAGAGGATTGACAGAAAGCATTGGAATGTATTATTCGTCAAGCTATTTGAAACAAAAAAGACAACCACCGGGCTTCCAAGTGTTCATTGAGAGCTTACATAAATGCTCTAGCTAATCCAATGTCCAAGGTTATGGATTACATAAAAAGCAAGGTTTTCATCCCAATATCACAAAAACAAATTATGATGTAAAAAAGAACACTTACTTGCAGTCTCGGATGTTCATTCGCAGACGCATCTATTCTTGCAAAGAGTAGATTATCCAAACTTTTAAAGTGCTTAGCCAACTTTTGTACATGCTTAGCCGTGGTCTAACAGGAGATGCACCATGGTGTGTATACCTGTTCCATAACATTGATAATATTTTTCACGGGCATACTCTCCATAAATGGGGGTAAGGCTAGCCGACATTCACCTCTCCCAGACCCTGCGTAAAGCGGGAGCCTTGTGCACTGGGTACGACCTTTTATACTGCATGGTCAAAATTCTCTCTCCATAAAAAAAAAAAAAAATTCTAAACTCACAATAACTTGCTATACAACAATGATAAGATTTATCATCAATTCTAATGATATTTTAAGGGCAATTTGCCATACAATTCGAAACCAGTACAAAATTAATTAGCAGTTTTAGTTTTGATTACCGGACCTCGAAAAATAACTTATTAGGTTGATTCCAGTAGAGAAAAAATTGTTTAATTAATATATTTACAGATAGATGCATGCAATTTCTTCATTTAGTGATTTCCTATTTTTGGAACATTGATGAACCAAATAATACGAATTTTTATTTTTGGTTGGAAAAAGCATGCCGGTGCTGTTACTATTGAATTAGTAGTGTTATTTTCATGAGCCTCTATTCTGAGTGTGGCTATGTAAGTTTGCAATTAATTTTAATTAGTTCATTATTTAGTTTGAGTTATCTTGTGCAGAGAGAAGTAAAGAGTCTGTTATGGGTTGAGTTGGAACTACATGTGCTGAGTTGTGGTTGATAGAAGGTCACCCTTTCTTAGTTTGTTCTTTCTTGTTAATTAATTTTTTCGACGGCATGTCTATATAAACGACGTCCTATTCCTCTGTAAGACATGCGCTTGAACCTGAGAGTTTCTTCACAGAACTCACTTATTTAAAATTTACTCTTACAGTAGCAATATAGGAAGAGAGGAATGGGAAACATAGCTTTAGGTGCAGGGGTGATGGCGATTGCTTGGTTAGTATTTACATTACAAGTTGTTGTGAATGCTGGTGACTTGGAGAAATTGCATGACAATGCATCAAATCCAAACCCAGAAGAATTGGCAGTCAAGAGGGTTGAGTTCCCTACTGATTTTGTGTTTGGCTTCTCTACTGCTGCTACACAAATAGAAGGATCAGCAAAAAATTCAGGAAAAGGACCAAATGTTTGGGACAACTTTGTTGAGAAATTCCCAGAGAGAATTTCAGACCACTCAAACATGTTCATTGCCATCGACTCGTATAGTTGATACAAGGAAGATGTGAGTCGATTCTTACAGATTTTCCATCCCTTGGACGAGGATTCTTCCGAATGGAACCTTGAGTGGTGGAATAAACCAAGAAGCCATTGACCATTACAACCTAATTGACGAGCTAATCAAGAATGGCATCACACCCTATGTGACCATTTTTCATTTTGACTCACCCCAAACCTTGCAAGACAAGTATGTTGGCCCTTTGCACCATTCCTTTGTGGACGATTTTAAGGATTATAGCGAAATGTATTTCAAAACAATTGGAGATATGGTGAAAAAACTGGATTACAATCAACGAACCATTTATCATTTCCACGTTCGGGTATGTACTTGGATTTGCTGCACCAGGCAGATGTTCTTTGCATACAAAATTCGTATGTTCATCTGGTAATTCGTCTACGGAGCCTTACATTGTGAGCCACAACCTTCTCCTTGCCCATGCTACTATTGTTAAGTTATACAAAGAGAAGTTCCAAGCAAACCAAGGAGGACAAATTGGAATCAGGCTTGTAGGATAATATGTTGAGCCCTTTCAGACTCAGAAGAAGACAGCTGCAGCGAGAGTTCTGGACTTCAGTCCGAGATGGTAGGTGGAGCCATTAGTCTGTGGAGATTATCCAAAGAGTATTGAGAGATTTGGCTAAGGACAGACTACCTAGTTTTACCAATGAAGAGAAGAATTTGGTCAAAGGGTCCTTTGACTTTATTGGCATCAATTATTATACCTCAATATATGGTAAAAACTCCCTACTGAGTCCACAGAAGCCAATTAGCTATACAACTGATGCTTTAGCTGAATCACCCGAAAAAAAAAAAATGGAGATCCTATTGGTCCTTAGGCTGAAGGAAGTAGTTTCGTGTCCATTTGTCAGCAATGTCTGCAGAAACATCGACTTTATGAAGAAAAACTACCAAAGTCCTAAAATCTACATTACTGAAAATGGAATCAACGACACAAAGAACGATACTCGCAGACTTGATGAGACACCGAAGGATCTGCATAGAGTTAAAAATACTCTTTGGCATTTGTACTGGCTCAACAAGGCAATCAAGATTGGTGTGAATGTGAAAGGATATTTCTATTGGGCACTGCTTGACAACTTTGAATGGGGTATGGCTATACCACAAGATTTGGGCTTTATTACATTGATTACAAAGACAATCTCAAGCGCATCCCTAAAGATTCTGCTAAGTGGCTCCCTAAATTCCTCAAGGGTGAAGTTTAAAGACACAATGCTCAAGCTAAGGCATAAGCTGTACACGGCTGATCAACCCCAAGTTCTTAAGGGCAAGTTTCCTACAGATGTGATGTGTATAAAGAAAGAGTGATACTCACACGCACACATACACATACACATTTAGTTACATATATATACATATATGTATATACTTATATATAATGTACAAATTTTTGGTTTATGGAGCATCTTTTAGAACTTTAATAGTACCTATCTGATGAATACTACAGTTCTTTGAAAAGTAGCAGTTTCTTATTAGTTTCTTACGATCCCATTTTTTTGTGTGTGAACGTGATAAAGCTCATTCCCTGTTTTGTTCTGATTTATAAGAAACATTATTTTGTTTTCAAACTTCAGGAACTTTGACTTGGATGTGATCGTGTGAGCAGCAATAAAATAGATGTAGGAGAGGAAGACACACATACCTCTAGTACAACATTCTTGTGACTATTTAAAACCAAGTCATCCAATGTCTTTCCTACAACGCTCAGGACCGTTTCATTCTTCTGCATTTTTCACATAGTACAGAAGTGAGTTCAAAACTTTGTGATACAATACAACATATATTCCTGTGACCATTTAAAACCAAGTCATCAAATGTCCTTCCTACAATGCTCAGGACAGTTTCATTCTTCTGCATTTTTCAGAATAGTACCAAAGTGAGATCAAAACTTTGTTATACAATAATAATAATATAGACTATTAACTTGAATATAACTAACACTTCCCAGCTTTGTGAGCTGATTTAGTACTGCATTTAATGTGATAGAATTACAACGTTGCAGGAAGTGCTTTCATATTTACCATTTCAAGGCTATGTAAAACCAGCACTCTGCAGTACGGTTTTGGTTGGTTGATCAGCTTCAGAATAACATAAGATTTTGGCTTAAGGATAATGCAACAATGGGAACCAAAACAACCAACTATTGTCCAAAGTTATAGAAAAGAAACTAAGGTAGAATTCCAAAATTAAATTGCCATCATTGATCAAAAAATCATTTTTAAGGAGAAACAAGACTCACATTATCAGGTATTAGTTGCGATTTGAAGTGTGGAGATACAGTACCCTGTAGAAGCCCTGAGCAGAACTCCTACAAAATCCAATTCATAATATCAGTAGTCTAGGTAGATAATCTTCAGGAGGAAAATTCAAAACGTGAGAGATTATTACTTCAAGATTGCTTTGTGTTGGATCTGATTCCAACAGATATTTAGAGTTCCCTCTGATATCAAAAGCAATGACCTGTGCAGAACACAGACAAAACCTGATTAGAAGTAGCCTTAGCAGCAAATTCCTTGATAGAAAGAATTCACGGTCAAGGTGTAGGTCACAACTGGGAAACTGACCACAGTGCTGTTTGATTCTTCAAGCCCAAATACCGTTAGGTAAGGCTTAGCAAGGTTTTCGTCCGTAATGTCTATTAATATAAACAGTATCTGGATCAAGAGAATAAAAGAGGAAAAGCATTAGTAGATTTAACTGATTCACACAATTACTTCAACATATAGTCCATTTGCATACCTTTGACTTGAACTGTCTAGCAACATCTTGAAGAGGCTCAAGAAGTTTCTTGAAGTCATCTGCGTCTGCAAAAACATGAACCTGTGCAACAATAAAAGCGAGATATTAAATGACAGTCATTAGCATGCCATTTCTAATTCTTTAAATATGACTCAAGCTAAGGAAAGATATAATGCTTAGAGGGTCACGTAAGTACGCAAATATGATTTGATGTTTGATTTGCATTAAATGACGGAGAACAAATTCTAATTTTAAGCATCAAATTCCAGAAGGAAGAGAAATGCAACACCTGAAGAACAGTTTTTGCCAGTTTTTTAGAAAAAAACCTAAATATATCTTCTGGTTATTGTATCCAATATGTGTACTACTTTTCGTTTATAATTTTGAGTCATCTAGGCCATCTCTATGCATGATCTTGTTTTGTATGCATTATTTATTGATAAAATACATGATCGTGTACTTTTACTATTGTCCAGACTTCAAAATCTCATTTGTAACAGGACTAAAAAAAAAGTATATAAATGTGGATGTGTATGCAGCTCAACCGTAAAAGAAGATATGATGTACTGGAGGAATCAACGACCTGAATTTGAATAGGGCTGGAGTACACTTTTGCAGAATTCGCTTCAGTAAGTCTGTTAACTAACGGAAACTTGTTATGGTCAAGAAACTGCAGTATTTCATCCGCTCTAAAGGTCCCCTCTGCAAAGCCAAACATTCATGAATAAGAATAACTATGTTAGTAATTCTTCCTGTTCTACCTGACTTGCAAAAAATTCATCGAATGTAAACCAAGTACAGTCAAATATGCAAGTTGACACAGTCATACATAAGTCTCGTAAATGGTTTACAGAATCTAAACTTGATTTATTTGAGACAGATTAATAAAAATATAATATACATTGGCCAAGTTGCACATGCAAGTAAGAAAACAACAAAAATTTCATCACCTTCGGTAAGAAAATTAAGCAACTCACCATATGCAGTGCATCTTTCTGGCTCACTTTTCACAATTCCAAGGAAAAAGCTAGTTGGTTTCATATTTGGAAAGAGAACGTTAGCAACCTCGATGTTGCTTGCTTCTACAAACTGGATTGCATTGTCAGCTGTCGCTGCATTTACAAACTCTTTGTGGTTAGGCCCCTGAATAATTTTGATAACAAACAAGCCCAAAATATCCATAATGTACAAACAAAATACACAATCAAGGCAGAGGCCTCATACTAACTCCAGACTTAATCCTAGGTTTTCAGTATTTCCTAGGTCTAGCATTCTAAGAGAAATTTGAAAACAATAACAATGTACATACCTCAAACTTTTCAAACAAACCAACAACAAATATGTCAGACTTCTTGAGAAATTCTTCAGCCTCTGTCACCGAGCTTATCCTAATAACAGGTTCACCAGTTTTCTTCCTCGCCCATATCACTATTTCTTCCCTGAATCACAATTTGCCCCCACAAACACATTAATGGAAATGCACAACTCAATTGGTACATATATTCCTAGCCATACACACGAAATACTGATACTGCATACAAATGATTTCAAAGATATATGGGTACTGTACAGGAAAAACCGATATTAAACCTTAAACGAAAAGTTACTCGAATAAATTAGAACAACTCAACTAATAAATTATGTAATTTACGGCAATGGCAAAACACAGGGACAATATATAAGCATACAGATAACAGAAATGACAAAACACAATCTGAATTATAACTTATAATATAAGTAACTGGCCAAAAAAATGATTCACATACCATATTCAAATCAAGTTAACATAAAATATTCCCAATTAAACATCTTGATAAAGTTTTAGAGCCACTCACGCAGAAAATCCACCAGTGTACACTTGGGAGGTGCCATTGACAAACAGAAGCAGAGTAGGGAACCCTTTGATCTCCAAAGACGAGGCAGTTTTCGCGTGCCGCTCGGCATCAATCTTCGCCATCAAAAGGGGGCTCCCCAATTCCTTCAGCGCAGTGGCAGCCTCAGCAAACTGAGGCATCAGCTCAGCACTCCTGGAACACCAAGGAGTATAACCAAGAACCAGAACAAACTCATTGTTCTCAATAACCCTCTTGGTATTGTCATGATTAAGCTCCAGAACAATCCTTTGTGCATTGGATAAAAGCTCGGCCTCCGAGGACCTTGTGGTGGGCGCCAGGAGCTCTTCAAGTTCGCCATCTTCGGTTTCGTCTGCGGTGAGGTTTTGGGGTTCAGAGGATATGATGGGGGTCGGGAAATGGAGTAGGAGGGTGAGGATGAGAGTGAGGACAACAATGATGAATCTGGAGGTGGGTTTTGATCTGGACATGGTTTTGAGGTAGTTGTGGCTGTGGGTTTTGCAGATTTTTGCAGAGGGAAGTGGGGTTCTTGTGAATATTGTGAGATCTATGGAGTGAAAAGACTTAGAATTGAGAAGGTGAGAGGGATGAATGGAGTGAGAATTTGGGCTTCATGGATTCTATATACCTTTCACTCCCTTTATTGGCGGCAATTACTCATAAAAAACCGTAATCATTTTATTAACTGTTTTAGTATGTATATAAATTGGAGTAATGCTACTCATTTCATCTATTTGTACTATCATTTATACTATCTTTTTAATAGGGTTAGGGTCCGTCAATACATGTGGATCTCATTTATAATGCAGAGATGAAACAAATATATGGTATGGATAATATTTTTGAATAAAATGACTCTTACTTCCGAGATGTGTAACATGTCGAGTCTAATATTCTTATTTATTAACATTAATATGCATTTTTTTAAAATCATGCATGTATATAATCATTGTTGGTCATGCATACATTGAGTTATATTCATATAAATTTGAGATTTTTTTTTCTCACAACTCTCAAGTAGTGGTGATGTGATGTTCACCATCATATTTATTGCTTTTAGATGAATTTGAATTTTGCTATATATGTAGCGGATATAAATTTTAAAATTTAAATTCATCTAATGATAATAAATAATGTAGAGAGCACTGCCAAAATTAGATTTGCATTTTTTGGAACATGCACAGATATATTCATTGTCGTGGTAACCACTAAGAACCAAGAAGTATAATATTGGAAATTGCAGTTGCTGCACTTCTACAGAAACAGCTTGTTCAGGGTCCTTGAGAGTGCGAATCTGATCGCGCAAGGTTCTCACATTGGTCCTTGAAAGAGGAGACAGACTCTTTTCCAAAAGATTCCAGGCTTCATAAGCAGATGTGCAGGGAATTAGAAGAGTCTTGATCGACGGGGATGCAGTAGCTTTGAGTAAGCCGGGATTGATGGGGCCATCAGGTAATTTCTTTGGAGGTATTGCTAGCTGCAGTGGTGACAACTTGGTCAAGGTTATGTAACTCAAGGACATCTTGGAATTGTGACTTCCAAGTTCCAGCACAAAAAATTTATGCGGTCCATTTGAGTGGTGAATAGGTGAGAAGTATTGGAAGAAGTGAGGAGAGAAGAAACAGCTGCCATAAGCGAGGATGACGAGTTCTGTGACGTTTGAGTTGCGGTGAAGGAAGAAAGAACAGAAGAGGAATTCCATAAAACAGAAATTGATAGAGTAGAGAAATAGTTGTTAAGTGTGGAGTTTTATGACGAAAGGTTTTGATATTAATTGGATTGGAGTGAAGTTAGGATTTTAAAACTCTTATTTTCTCAAAAATACGGTCGATGTGAGATATTTCAACAATAGTGAAATGAGAGAATTAGTGAAGAAAAGAAAGAGAATGATATTTTAGGAGAACGACTTGATGGGTTGTCCATTCACATAGCTTTCAATAGAGACATATTTCAAGTTGACTACGTACAACCACTCAAAACATTGTTCTGCTCGTCCAAAGCTCAGTCTTTAAAAACATACATACAACATGCATTACACAATTTCAAACAAACCTATTTACATTTATTTTATAGAAAATCATAGCTAAATCAGTGACATGAATTTGGAGTAAAAAAAAAAAAAAAAAAAAAAACCACCGGTTACAGGAATTATTACAGTAAAGGGTTTACGCTGGCCAAAAAAATGTTTATTTTTTATTTCTTGAAAAAGGATGTCATATGTGGAATGAACAACTCAACTGGGTTTGCAGTCCTGGCCAAAAAGTAAGCTCAAATTGCAGTAAATTCTGTACTCGATTTTCACAAGCATTCACAGAAGGGGATCATCAGTCATAAGCGCATGAAGTCTTATTGAACTTGATGGGTTTGGTGACAGTGGGATCCAAAACCAAAGGACAAGAGATTCGCCTTCGACGCTTCGTTTTCACTAGCTTCCCTACCACGTACGCTCGAGACCGGATTTCAAATTTTAAGGTCAACGGAATTGGAACCAATGCACCAGTCTTTGAGTACTTCAAACTTGATCCAGCCCCGTATAGAGGAACCTTGGTTCCTTGCAAGTTTACTGATATGGTTCGGAGGCTCTTTCTTGGCTGATAATATTTCTTCAACTGCGATAACAAAATCCAGAAAATTTTGTAAGTTGCTAGATATATGAATCAAGAGTCAAGACCGAACGTTCATAGTTCGGTAACATTATGTCCTTGTACAGTAAATTACTTTGTCCGAAAATTGCCAATGGTAAGCGGCCAAAAAACTCAGGCGCACATATGAAAATTTGAAACTCCAAGCACCAGCATGTGAGAACACAGAAACCGAAATAGCATAATAGTTTACCCTATACATTCATAAATTTTCTTAGAGATTAAAATTGTAGTCATGGAATAGCGAATCCGACCTGACCAATTGCTACCGCAATCTCTGAATAGAGGAGACCGATAGGTGAGGAGGTAACGTGAATGCCGAAAATTGAAGCAGAGTTGCGTACACTGAGCCTTAATGAGCCATTCACCGTCACCAGCTTTGTTGGAACTCCACTGAAGTCTGAACCCTCACCAATGTAGAAGTTACTGATATCCAAGCTCTGCAAGAATCACAAGTCCTCCGTTAGATCGAAACAATTTCATCCTATTGAAACTGCATAGTTCCCATTTTTCCTGCTACATTCCTTGAATTGAAGAACCCCGGACACCCTTTTCGGTTTTTCCACATTACAAACTAACTATGGCAAAACGAAACACATTATACATCATCACAATAACAACTTTAGACAAAATTCAGCATCATTTTTTTTTTGTGTAATAAATATTATGGGCGTCTTGAACAAAATATTACACTAGTTCAAAAATTAGCTTACCTTAACTACAACTTCTGGTTTGTAAGGCCTGCTTGCACCCCATATGATCAAGCAGAAGACAGTGAACAACACCACAAAGCTAAGAAGAGCAATCAAGACCTGCACACGGCGCGAAAGCGACTTATCGTTGAAATCATCATAACCCCCTTCCTCCATAATCACCTTACACTCCGGCCACCCCTTGTCATTCCTCGGCTTCCTACCGCCTTTTCTACCGGAAGATGACCTGAAAATCCCAGAAAATCGGCTCGCGGAGGAGTTCCTCGAGTGGCGGCCGAAAGAGGGGTGTGAGGGTGACTCCATGGGGCTGTTGTTGTACATTGGAGTGGCATGCATTGACGAGGACTTGTCCCCATCGTGTGAGTCCCTTGAAGGGCTCTGCACATAATACACAGGTGCCTTTGGGGACCTTGATGGTGATGATGCAGCTAAGCTTGTGATATCAGACTCAGATTTTGTTGAGTGCATCATTACCTGATTAGTAATGACTACGCAGGATTTGAACAAGTCAAAGCCTTGTGCCAAAAAATTCCACCACAAATTTGGAAACTACACAAGTGAAAAGAAACACATAAATTGAGTGGAATTTCACGAAAGATTGAAACTTTCATCAAATTCTTGGGTACCCAGAAAAGGGTTTTGAAAAATATGAGCTGGTTTCCATGGTAGGGTGAGAAACTGAACAAATTGATCACTTGGAATTCAGTACTAGAGAGAGAAAAATCAATGAATAAATTTGAAAACACTTTCAGAAAATCTCACCAGAAAACTACTTGAACAGATGAGACGGTGATAAAAAAATCAACAGCCGCCACAAATCAATGTGTTTATCTGTGTGTCGGTAAGATAAGCAGAGAGAGTGAAGTGATGCTTTTGTTAAGGGAACCAATCAGTAGCAGTGCCCTCACATGTTATAAATTGATCAAAGGGTAGTGTCGGCAGCACATATAATATTAGAGAAGTGCTAAAAAGGCTCTGACGTGATTTTTTATAAATCCTATATTACTAATATTTTTTGTATAATATTTTATTATATTAAAATAAAAATTCTTTTACAATTGAGATATTGGTAGATTTTATGTCACCTTATATTTTGGAAACAATACTTTATAATGTTGGGAAATTATGTCAAAACTATAATGTGACAAAATTTTTATTGAGAATCCCATTTTTAAGAGAATTTTCTTAACATTTCTTGTAATATTATTTTATATATACTTGTGTAATTATTTAATCATAATTGTAAATATTATAATAGTATTTGGTGGTAGTGATAAGGATGCTACTAAACCAAATAGCAGCTGACCAAAAAGACAAAAATAAATAGCATTATTTATTTGATGGGATTTTTTTTGGACAACCTACCTAATTTTGATTTGGAGCATAGTGTTTGTGTTTGTTTATTTATTCGTTTCTTTCTTTTCTGTTTAATATTTTATTTTGTTCGTTGAGGTACTTTTTAATATTTCCGAGTGGTTGTACTTTTTTCTTCTACAACATGCTTTATTAAATGGATGAAAACAACTCACTTGTATATTTAACGTTAATGCATTTTTCTGGTGTACCTGGAAAATGGTTATTTGTCAATGGGTGATTAAATTTCTAATACAATCGTGACATAAGAGGTAGGAGACTTTACGAGCCACACCGACGTAAAAAAAGAAATAGTGTTTAGTTATGTTTAGTTAATTCAACAAAAGTCAGTTTAGTCAATCAACAGTAGTAAATTATAACTACACAACTCTAAATATTTTACAACCACAAGTTTTTGTAAAGTTCAATTGCGAAATGATCTCATATGTTATTTGATTCTTTTCATATAAATAATTTTTATATAGTAATTTATAATATGAATTATTTCAATCATAAGTATAAAGTTCTATAAATCGATTACGCAATGTTTTGAGAGAGATTTCCTCATTGTTTGATTAGATAGGTATTATTTGGAAAAAAAAATGAAGAGAAAAAACCAGGCATTGACCCAAATACACGTGGGCTACATGCTAAGGATTGGGATGAAGAGATTTTTCAGTGTGACCGTCATATAAGGTGGTACATCACATGTTTTTATATAAATGGTGGGATATGTGTGTTAAAAAATTAATAACTTAAAAATTAAAAATTCTCATCACTTACATAAAAATACGTGGTGTATCATCCGTGTTTCTATCATAACTAAAACTTTATCGTTGGGTGGGAGTGAGAATGGAGAAAGTCAATGGGTAATTCATTACTAGTTGCCCAAAGCAACGAGAAAAGAAAAAGAAGTGATTTCAAATTTAAAAATGCTTTTAAATAGCATTATTGTTACTAGTGTTAAATAAACAAATTTAAAAATAGTATTTTTAAAAACACATTCAAATTTGAATAATGGGTGGTTTATGGTTGACTTATATTTTGTTTTTGAATAATTGTATGATAAAAAAATAGTTAAATAAAAAAACTTAATTTACGAAAGTGGCCCTTTACCACAGTGATGGAAATGTGTTAAGTCATTGCATGACGACGTGGGTCCAAAACCCGTCTTGATAAAAAAATATTTAAATAAACAAACTTAATTTACATAGGTGGTCTTTTACCACAGTGGTGGAAAGATGTTGAGCCATGGCATGACGATATGGGTTCAAACCCTGTCGGTGGCTAATCTAACATTTAATCTGTGACAGCCCGTCCCGGACGTATATATTATTTATCCTCAAGAGCATGGGAATTTCTATTATACCCTTGTTATTATTGAGTTGTGTGTGTGTGTGTGTGTGTGTGTGTGTGTGTGTGTGTGTGTGTGTGTGTGTGTGTATTAACTAAGGTTTTGGACCAATAGGTTCTATCCCTTATTATTTGGACCTAATTAGAACTAAAGACTTAAGATTTTGGTTGGTTGACTGCAAACTGGACCACACACACATACCCTCCCCTTATCTTGTGACTCTCTCTCCTCCCTCTTGCATTTTCTTCCATGTCTGTACAATTGTACGAACAAACCTTGAACCCTCCATTTCACGCACGGATCGAGCTCGTGGTTAACATCATCATCTTCATCTCATCGTCACGCACTCATCTATACTATTTTTAGAACGTGAAGACCTTATTTTCCCGAGAACCCAGTTTTGGGTCACTGTTCATGCACTCGTGTTATCGAAGTTTTAAAGAGATTTAGCTTTAGGACATTTTCACGAAGCTCATAGAAGAAAAACGAAGTGAATTGGACGTTGAGAAGTCGAGTTTGGCGAGTTTCAAGTTTGGCCAAATTATCAAGGTTCCTTTGGCGAAATCCTGTGGATTTCAAGGCTTGAAAGTGGTAAGGTTTTGTTCCTCCCGTCCGAAGCTTCATTTTGGTACAAATTTCATGAAATTTGGTTGAGAAATGAGCTGGAAATGACAATTTGAAGTTTTTTAGTTTTCCGGCGATGACGTCGGTCACCGGAGTTCGAAGGTTGAAGACGATAGAATATTCTGTCAAGTTTGACGGAATATTCTGACGGCGTTAGGTTAGTCTTAACGGAATATGCTGCTTTTTGACAGAATACTCCCTAATGCTGTTAAAGATTCTGCTAGGCATGCCAAGCACGTGGCCTCGCGTGGGGGCGCGTCTGGCCGTGCCCCTGCCTGGACGTGGGGCATTGGAAAAATTTTCTAAAAATATGGGGGTGTTCCTGAGGTTGAGTAGGTCATGGTGGTATATTCAAATGTCCCATTTGAGCATTGTATGAGAAGTTAATTCCTAGTTTTTTATATGTGCTTTAAATAACGTTTATTCAGTTATTTCGCAAATAGATGAGACCTATCCTGAGGACGAGCGCCATCAATTGAGGCTCGGGGGCTACGACCCTTCAACATATCAGTGAGTGGGCTTTTGGTTTTTCGTATATACCTATATACTTGAGATTTTTCCCAAAAAATGAATTTGAATGATTATACGTTTTGAAATGCCATGCAAAGTATCTACCTATTTTATTTATGCATTAGTAGTTGCATATAATTATGATTGGTGCTATGGACGCACAGGTAAGTGTCAGGTAAGTTCATAAATTAAAGATGTGAGATTACTTCAGTTATGTGAGTTATAATGTGATGTGATGAGAGCTCATAAACTTGCACCCGGTGTTAGTGCTCCCGCCCAGAGTTGGGGCACAGTCCTTTACGTGATGTTCACCTACCGCACCGTATGCTCACCTTGGATCCAAGTTAGGTGCACAGTCTTGTCGTACATATCACTTTAGGTGGTTTCGACTTGTAGGTGACTCGCGATTATTCGCACAGCCTTCACATGATCGTAGCACTATAGCATATTTACTTTACACCTAGTCTTGTCGTACATACCACTTTAAGTGGTTCTAACTCGTATACAGGATTTAATTTGATAAGATTGAGATTGGTTATGAGCTATATATTCAGCAGTGCAGTTTGAGTTAGAGAGATTTGGCTGATGCAATATTTGACATTGATATATTTTGCCTGGTTTACCTATAACATTGCATTGAGATACTTTGACATGGTATACTTCTATGGATTTTCATCTTGACTATGATTTCTGATTCAGATTATTATTATTATTTTCTGGGAAGTTATACAAGTTTTACGGCGAGGGGTTAAAACTTTTGAGAAATGAAATGATTTTGAAAAGCTTTGTTTTTGCCCACTCACATTTTCTGTTTTGCATCCTTCCAGGTTTTAGGTAGAAGTGCTTGGTGGATCACTAGGATTTCGACGGGGGTTCCGACAGAGCATCATAAATGTAGGATCACCCTTGGGTGTTGTATAATTAGTACTTGTCCTGCTTGACTGCACTTAGGATATTTATGATCTGGTTATGTATTTCACATTTAATCTCGCACTAACACTTTATCATAATTAGTTCTACTAGTAGTTTGGTTTTTATTCCTTCGCAATTCCCTTATATCTTTATTGCTTCCACATTGTGCACATGGTTACGTCACTCCCACGTGACGGCCAACATGCCCTGATTTAGGTCGAGGTGTGCCAGTTTGGTATCAGAGCATAGGTTTGCAGTCCTGCATATCTTGAGAATTTCTAATTATTTTGATGTCTTCTGTTAGAACTATGCCGCCTCATAGAGATCCACATCTTTCTGTTGACCCTAGTTTTCCCGATATAACTCAGTTAGGGGAAGCTAGAGCTAATGCTATTCAGTCTTCGCTTCGTCCTCCCCAAAGAACACCATTTGAGACTATGTATAACCTGAAGCTGAATCATTTTATAGGGAATGAAAGAGCGGAGAAATGGAGTAATCATATTGAGAAAACTTTTCGTGTAATGCAGAGTCAAGGGAATCTTCCTCCTGATAGGTGGGTTGATGACTACCTAGTTTTTGGGTCCGGAACCTGCATCCTGGTGGAGATAAGAGTCTTATCAGTTGACTCTAGGGGAAATTGCGGACCAGGAAGTATTTAAACAGTTGTTTCAGAAAAAGTTTATTCCCCCTGAGTATATTGAATGCAAAAAGCAAGAGTTTACTCAATTAAAGCAGGGGAAGATGACGGCAAATGAGCATTATAGGAGATTCACTTGCTTGTCTCGTTATCATCCGGAGGTTGCTGCTAATCCAATTGAGATGCCCCGTCGTTTCAGGTTGGGTACTAAGAAGAAATGGCGTTCTATAGCGACCTCGACTCCCTATGCTACTTACCAGAAGTTTTATGAGATTTTGTTGAGGATTGAGGACTCAAAGAACATGCCCAGTGAAAGTAAAGATGAAGAAGAAAAGAATGGGAATCAGAGGCGAGATGATAAAGGTAAAGATCAGTCTTCTCAAGGATCTCGCAAGACTCAGAGCTTTAAGAGGAGTGGAACTAGTTCCAGCTCTTCAAGCGGAGGTTTTAGTGCCATTGGTCAGATGGGTCGAGGTGGTGCTTACCATTATC